ATATAACAATAGATAGCCCAATGAGAGAAGTAGTGAATAAAATTGCAATAGCAGCATTAGATGCAGAATGGGCAGACTTAGATAGAAATAATAGATGGTTAAATAGAAGTGAAGAAGAGGAATTCAATTGGAAAGAAACTTAGAAATGGATATATAAAGATAAAGGTAAAAACAGTATAAGTAGAGAAAAGAACAAAAATTAGATATTTCAGATCAAATGCCTAGGTAACCTACTGCCAACCTTGACAGAGTTAAGAAAAAGAAGACCAGATATATATACATCAAATATATGTATAGTATGTAAAGAAAAAGAAGAAAACCTAGATCACTTCACTAACTGTGAAGATTATCAAGATATATGGAGCATCATTAAAGACAAAGCAAGCAAAGAAGGTTTACAAGTATTACGGTGAGAAGAACATGAAAGAAAACTTATAAACAAAGAAGATGTCAAGGATCTGTTCTTTGAAGAATCTCAAGACAAAAGAATAGAAACAAAAAGGTATTTGATCAGAGGCCTCATACTCAAAAGGAAAAGAAAGAAATCAGAAGAGAAATAGGAGATGATAATGTACTGCAAAAAGTGTTTGATGCAATCAAGGCAAGATTCGATGAAAGGTTTTAGAAACATATTTGGAACTTTAGATATAAATTGGTCAATAACTGGAAAAAAGAATACAGGATCACAAATAAAGCTAAAAAGAAAAAATGATACAAGAAGAGGAAAAAATCTGTGCAGAATTCTGAGAATAAAGAAAACAGAATATTAGAAAAAGAAAAAAAAATATTGGCCAAGGAAGAAAAAGAAAAATGGATCTTTATGCGAATACAAGAAAACAATCAAAATCTTTTTTAATATCGTATCAAGCCAGACTGGTCCTCTTGTATCCATATTAAAAAGAAAAAAAGCAATACTGACAAGGTCAACAGCTCCCAGCTTATAATCAGAGAGAACAAATCTTCAGAAAGTTGAGGATCTAACGTGAAGCAAATTAGCTGCTTAGACAGGTCACATCTGAGTGTTTAATGCTGAGTGAGTCTTTATTAGTACAGGAATTTAGTATAAAATTATATATTTGTAATAAATATAAATTTTAATACTTCTGATTAAAATAATAAAGGTAGGATCGTCAAAAAAAAAAAAAAAAACTAATAATAACTTTTTTTTTTTTTTTATACCTTTGCAATATCACGGAAGTGTGAATTTTTATTAAATATTTTAGTAATATATTCTTGGTTAACAAGAGTACATATAGCTATATACTATATCTGTAACCTAACTAGGAGATTACTTATTTAAACCTTCTGATGTCCCTAGTCCTGCACCACCACCTTAACTACACCAGTCTATAACCTCATGCTGCTTTTTATTGAAGGCCACCCAGATTGATATCTGCTATACTACTTGTGCCCTAATTCTATAGATAATCCAGTAGGGGTCTCATACTACCGGGTTGCCTTAGGGAGGGTATAGTATATACCCCTAATCTTTTTATATCTCACACACTTTCAGATTAGGCTATGAATACCTTCCACAGTAGCCGAAACCACCACTAGCAGTTAGGGTAAACTATTAAACTGCACAATTCCAGTATTCAGTGCCCTTGCAAGGTTCATTTCGACCCTAATAACCACATCAAACCAGTTCTTATACTGATCCCTCCTCAACTACCAAACTAGTTAGCCTGGATGGGTCATTGTACCTAGGCTTTAAGTGCCTTCTGGTTTTACTTCTCTTGGTTCCTAATTCCGTAACATAGGACCTTTTCCTCCAGTGCAACTCTGGTGGTCAAGTTGGTAAACCCTTCTTGTATCAGAGTTTTTGTTCAGTTCTTTGGTCTCCAGTTTCCGACTTTTCTGCAGTATTGTCAAAAATCTTCACTACCTCTTTACTTAGGTCTTGCCAAACAGGTTTTAATTATTCCGGTTCCTTGGATTTAAATCGCCTAAGAGCTTCTATTTCGAGATGATAGTACCAAGATTACAGGTAATATACCCAACTGATCGTCAAATAATTGTTACTGATACACAGGCCTATTTTTCTAAAAATGTCTCTGGTGGGATTCGAACTTTAGACCTGCTGCTTGGGGATGACAACTTAACTACTACTCTAAGTCACCAACCTTTAACTAATAATAACTAATAATAAACTTAATAATAAAACTAATACTACAACTCATTCTATAACAACACAATCTAAAAAATTAAATGCAACTGTTCTTTTTATCAGTAATCATTTATAACTTAAAAATCTACATAGAAAACCATCTTTAATGCTTTAACAAAAGTTTTTTTAAACAATTTTGCTATATATTACATCAATAACAAACACTAATATAATTGCTAACTATAGTATTAAAGTTTTATTATTGCAGAATCTTTGAAATGTTGTTGAAATAGTTAATGCATTTATAGAAAATGCACTTAGAAAAATCTCTTTATACTAAGATAATAATTTTGATTTTTGACCAGTATAAACTAATAATATAAAATGGTAACACTATCTTATCTTCTTATACAAGAACTTATTTACACAATTTTTGTATAACTTAAACCTTATATAATATTACTGTTACACATAATACCTACACTTTATAATTAAATTTTCTTTCAAAAATTCCTATTTTAGGTTTATACTTGCACTTAAATTTTTCACAAGAATTTACATCGAATTATAGCTCCATATAAATTACAAAAATAATTAATTTGTCTACAGCCTAACTCAAACCATTAACCTTGTCTGTAAGGGTTTGGAAGCTTAATCAATAAGCTATAAAAACCAAACCATAAAAAATAAACTTTAAAGATTGATTTTTATATTTTATATACTGTATAATTTATATTAAGTGCCATGCATTTTATTAATACAATTCTCCTTTTATGAATTGTCAATTAAGTTAAAAAAGATCTTCGGCTCAACGTTTATACGTAATAAATTCATAAGTTTTTATTATAATGTTTATTATGTACAACACTTTAGAGAAGATGTACTATGCCTGATAATGCCATCATTCAAAAAGGTTTCCTAATCGGATTATAATATTAAAATCAATCAATCCAAAATACCAATACATAAAAAAAAAATAATAATATGAATTTACTCTGATGGCCTGTCTTCTTAACCCTTTCCAAACGCTCTTGCTCCAAACGCTCTTGTTCCAAACGCTCTTGCTTCAAACGTTCTCGTTCAAGTCGCTCTTGCTGTAATCGTGTTAACTTTTCTTGACGCTCTCGTTCTTTTGCCTGCTCTTCCAATACGCGCTGTATTTCCTTTTTGTCCGAAGACCATCAATCATTAAAGAATAGAGTTTGTTTTTGCTATGATATGAATTATTTAAAACCAAATATCACAAATAATAACCAACCGCCGAAGAGCCTTGCCATGATGGATCTGAAAGCAATTGTTGTGTATGTATACTTTGAGACAATATATTTATCCATATATCTAATAATTGGTCTGTTTGTTCAACTGTGTTGGAAAATTGCTTAGATATGAATTAAATTTATGCAACGTACAAAATCAATAAATGAAAGTTCAAAAAAAAACCCCCCAATATTTTTATCGATTCTTTACCTAACACGTAATATAAACAATTAGAATCATCATTTAATATCTTTACCTGCAAATTTAGATTCGTTTGATCCATATTATTGTTCACTTTTTCAAACATTTCATTCAACTTTAGCAGTGTTCTGTATTCTTTTCTAAGTGAATTGTCATTGTCATAAATGCTATTGTCAAGTATGGAATCTCGTATGGAATCTCGTTTTGTAAACCAAAGGGAAGAATCGTTATCATTCAAAAGCGAATTTGGAAACCAAGAAGTATCATTATCATTCAAAAGCGAATTTTCAGGAAATTCTTGATCTTGAAGGGTCGGTAATTCTGGAGATAATGGAGAATCTACCATTTTGCTTGGACAATTTTAGGATTCTAAGCATGAGGGCCACGCGACTGAAAAATAAACGCTGGTCGTGACTGATCATTAGGGCTTTACTTATTTGTGCCAGTAATACAAACTCCTAAAAAGGAAATAGCCAATTAAAACTTCTAACGACGATTTCTCTAACTATTTGATCAAATTCAGTAAAAATATTTTTATTTTAATTTAGTAATGCTGTAGAATCAAAAGAAAAAAAAATTTATTGAATTTGATTTAGAAATTATCGCTAAAAGTTTTAAAACAAAAAAAATAAAAAATCAATCAGGTAAAATTTCCTTTCTTTGAACTTTAAACGAAGATTTCTTGACAACTAACTATTCAAATTTGATGAAAATTTTTTTATTTTAATTCTATAATCTCGTAGAATTAAAATAAAAAAATTTAGATCGAATTTGAATAGCTGAATGTTGAGAAATATTTATTAAAAGTTAAAAAAATATTTGATTACAGCTTCTTTTTAAAGATATCTAAATTTTGAACAAAGATTACTTGGCATTTACCTAGTCAAATTTGATCAGAATTTTTTATTTTAATTCTATATGATTATATAGAATTAAAATAAAAAAATTTGATCAAATTTGACCAGGTAAGTGCTGAGTAATCTTCATTTAAAGTTTAGATATTTATAAAAAAAAAGCTGTGATTAAATTTTGTTTAAATTTTTTTTTTTTTTTTTTTTTTACCTTCGCAATGTTGCGAAAGGGTGAATTTTTTTATTAGATATATTAGTAGTACATTCTTGGTTAACGAGAGTACATGCTAGCCATACCTACAGCTTTTGAGCGCTTAATTAAGTAGCTACCTATTATTAGGGTTTATACTAGATGCCGTACCTATAACCTACTATTACTTGAGTTATTCAATTAAACTCTCTGGTGTCTTCTGTCTTGCACCATCACCTTAATTATGTCAATCCATAACCTCGTGCTGCTTCATTGAAGACTACTCAGATCGACATGTGCTACATTACTTGTGCTTTAATTCGATAGATAACCTAGTAGGGTTCTCATACTTACCAGATTACTCTAGGAAGAGTGTAGTATATACCCCCTAATCTTTCTATGTCCCACACATTTTCAGACTAGGCCTTTTCGATAACTTACGCCGAGTCTGAGGACAAATATTTGTGAGCCAAGGCCACTACAGTTACCTACTACTGTTCTTGTAGAGTTCACCCAAACCCCAGTACCTACTTTACAGATTTCCTCCCATACCTCTGGAAACCTAAACTTCTAATCCAATGGTCCGGAAGGGCAGAACCCTTTCTCTAGTTATCCAACAACCTGGTTGATATAGTGCCTTGCCAAACACCTCGGTCCCATCTAGTTTTTCGGTATCCAGTTGATTATCTTTTACATAGTAACCATCAAAGATCTGTGTTACCTCTCTACTTGGGTCTTGCCAAGCAGGCTTCTGTATTCTGTAAATTCACTAGATTTATCTGGTAGCTTTACTCGAATTTCGTATAACTTATACATCACACCATATGTTCCACTACCTCCCAGTACAAGCTGGTATGATCACCATTACAGGTTCTATAACCCAATAGGATACAGTCTTTCAAATGCATTTTTTATAAATTCGAATTTTCATTGCTGGTAGAATTCAAACTTTAGTCCTGCTGCTTGGGGTGTGACAACTTGCCAACTTCACTAAATCACCACACTCTTTTGTTTAAATTTTAATAAATATTTTTCAATATTAGCTATTCAAATTCAATCAATTTTTTTATTATAATTATACAAGATTATAGAATTAAAATAAAAAAAAATATCAAATTTGAATAGTTAGTTATTAAGAAGGTTTTATTTAAAGTGTAAGTAAAAAATTTGTTGTAATATTTCTTTATTTTAATTTTTTTAAAAAACTTTAAATAAAATTTTTTAATAACTAACTATCAAATTTTTTATTAACTAGCCTCTTTGAGCCAAAGTTTTTATTCAAATATTTAGATAGAGGATTCACTATGAAATTCTTATATTAGAAAGTATAATTAGTCATATGGAGTGCTCCATATTAAAAGGGCCTATTTTTACATATACTTCATTTTGAGATAATTGAGTTTAATCATTTGTTTTGATTTTCAGACTGATCTGGGATTAGCAAATTTTACGATTTTGATTAGTTAAAGGTAACAGGTGACTATCGGGCAATCTCGTGATATGCTTAGCCTTAAACAGTCTCGTGTAATTTTTCTTCTACATTATCTCTATTTTTCATTATGCAAATCGACTTTCATTTATAATTGAAAAA